TATTTGTAATTTTAAATAGCTACCTATACAATTATTATTTGTTTATTTATAATAATTTTTGTAAATTGTTTAAGCAGTTTTTTACAGAAGACAGTAGAGTTCAGAGTTTTGTTGGCGAAATTGATAAATATTTAGAAATATATCCAATAAATATTAGTGGCACATGGGCAACAGAAGCAGAGATATTTGTTACTTCTCTGCTGTTGAAAACAAGTATTTTCATATATTCCAACCACTATTGTTCATGGCAACTCTTTGGGAAATACGGTACATATAAGATGGGATAAGCAATAACGAAAATTGTTTGTACATAGCGCACGTTAATAGAAATCATTACCAAGTAGTTACTGATGTAGAGTAAAGAAAATTTATCAATACCTATATATTATGTAACGTTATATTTTTTACATTTTTAAGCTCAAAGTTATTACATTATTTCTTTATTTATACAGAATAAACAGTATTTTTAACATATTCGTGATGGTTGTTAAATATAATGATAAGTCTAAAAATACAATTATACAATTTAAAATAAAATGTACAGTATTATACTATCGTCTCAGAATGAAAAGTTACAAAATCCCCTTTTTTTTAAATGGTTTTTTCGTATACAATTATTTAATATTTATTGTTGTATAATTCAATCTTGGAATCGTATCGATCCGTTGATTATTCAATGAGATACAAAAAATGAAAAGGTTCAAAATCATATAAATGAGAATGATAAAGATAAAACCTATGTAAACGGGCATGTACCAGTTGCCCCCAAAAGTACCTTTTTTATACCAATTCCCCGCAAACTACTTAGAGAAAAATGTACCAGTTGCCCTTGTAAGTAAATATGTATACGATTAAAATATATACCTAGTCCGTAAAATAGGGGAGGTAAATATACAAATAATAATTATAAATAGTAATTATTATAACAAAACATAGTACATAATATTATATCTAATTTACACCCATGTAAACAGCTCAAAATGAGTATATATATGGTAATTTGTTTTAGAGTTACACTAAAAACCAAAATCGATTTTCTCGAAAACAGATTTTGCGTAAAAATTCCCGTTTTTCCTTAATTTTTCTTTTCGTTTTGGACCCCCCCCCCCCCCCAAGTATACCTTAACATGACAATTTATTTTGAGGTAACTATATCCTAAGATATTTATACCCCCCAGTCGATTAATTTTACCGGGGGGTAAATAATATCATAGCATATAATTAACGATCTGTTTAAAATGATGAATGTTAAAAATTATGACAAACTATTTTTGAACAACAAACGGATCGTTGATTATATGCTAGGATATTTTTACCCCCCTTAAAAACACATTTATACCGAGGGCCGAGGGGGTAAAAATATTCTGCTATAAAAATTCAATGGGAGGTAAATGTGTTCTAGTATATTTTAAACAGATCGTTGATTATATGCTAGGATATTTTTACCCCCCCTATAAAAACACTTTTTTACAGAGGGGGTAAAAATATTCTGCCCCCCTGTCGATTAATTTTACCGGGGGGGTAAATATATCCTAGGATATTTTTACCCCCCTGTCGATTAATTTTACCAGGGGGGGGGGTAATAATATCCTAGTATATTTTTACCGGGGGTAAAATTAACCTAGGATATATTTACCGGGGGGGGGGGGGGGGGTAAAAATATCCGGAGGTAAAAATCGCCTGTTACACCGGCAATTTTACACGTAAAATAATAAAATTGATACTATAGTAATGGGTACCCGCGATTGCTTAGTTAAATTATCTACACGATTTCAATAAAAAAATATCTATAAAGTATAAACATCCGCATTTCTATTTACTACAAATTCTTAATTATATGAGCGTATATATAACATATATTTTTCGAAAAAAATATTTAAAAAACAAGAATAATTCCTATTTGATGTCACACGGGTTGATCTAGCAACTGACTGCTACGACAAGTGTGTAATATTTTTAAACATAATCCATTTTGAAAACGTCCGGAAAAGAGTTTGTTTTAAGACTGTGTGTCTTGATAACATAACTAATTTAATTTAAAGTGTATTGTTATATTATATTATAATGAAAAACAATAATTATAGTAAAATTTATAATTGCAAAAAATGTAATACACTAATACCTATATCTAGCCATCTAGGGTATAAACCAATAAACCACACTAAAAAAGGTGTAAGCAGTGGCGTATTTGATGGGGGGGGGGAAATAGGGGCATTTGAACATACAAAATTTAAAAATAGATGCGGGGCGCCGTCGGGGCAACCTGAGCTAACGATTAGCGACACTCTACAGGGGCATTGCCCTGGCTGCAACTGCGGTTGTTGCGGCACTGCAGTCAGAGGGAAAGGGCGGCGCCCAGCATCTATTTAAAATTTTTAAATAATTGCATTGTAATATTCTAATGTTTAAATCAAATAAAATATAATAAACAAAATAATTTATTTTTATAATTTATTATGCTATCTAATTTGCTGTCGAAGAACAGGGCTCCTATTTATCTATAATAATAGCTATAAGTTACTCTGAAGTACTAGCTAGAAGCCTACATGTTATTCTTAGTATTACCACATAAAGTTGCCACTGCAGAGAGATCATTTTTCAAATTAAAACTTATTAAGTATTTTCCAAGAAATTCTACAGTACAAGATCATTTGATTAATACTTGAATGTTGAACAACACCGTATATCTGAATTGAATTTGGGAAATGTTATAAATGACTTTGATAATTTAAAAGCAAGAAAAATTTCCGTTCCTAATTTGTATAATTATTCTATTTCTATAGCACATATTATTATTACTTAAGGCCTTAAGGGTATATTTAGTATTCTGATTTATGAGTTTATAACACATTGTCACTGACTTGAAATAAGTTATGCAATTGTATTTTATATTGTTTGTAATTATTTTTATTTCTATTATATATTATATGTAGGCAGTAGGTAGTAGGTACCATATTATATTATATAATTTATTGAATTAATGTCTAATGTTAACATCAGTCATCAAGTACCTAATAAGTATGATCAATTGATATATTATTAATTATTATTATTTGTATCTGTTTGTGATACATTTTTTATAATTTTAAATATGGTAAAGATTTTTTCTATATAATTGTATGTTTAAATATAATATAGCGGTAGGTATACACAATCTTTATGCTATGCAATACTTTTTTGAGAGCCATATATTTTTACAAAAGCTTTTATTAATATTTATATATTAAGCTTAATAAATAATAAAAAAAAAAAGAACACTTAAAGTGTAGTTATATTTTAACAACAATACACTGGTCACTGGGTAGTGGGCCTTCACATAAACATTTTTTTTTTTTAACACCATCATTATTTATTTTTGTATAGGTACCTAACCTATAAAAATATTATATTATACATAGACCTCAGGGCCCCATACATAGACTGTGTCCGGGGCCCGAAGAATCTTAATTGCGGCACTGCCACTCCTTAGGTATTTATAGTAGAATTACCAAAATTCCACAACTCATAGGGAACAACTTTATCTGTTTTTATTAATTGTATAACATAAATAAAATTAAATAAAGTCATCAGGTTGAGAACATTAGGATTTTTTGATTTTATTATTAAAAATGATTGGTAAATGCTATAAAAAAAAAATAAAAATGCTACGGCACATAGAAAGTTGTTCATTGCGTTGTGGAATTTTGGTAATGCTACTATAAATACTGAGGGAGTGGTTCTATCCTGCGCAAAACAGTTTTTTGCTATGTTGTACATTTGTAAGGTGGAGAAAACGCATGCAGGAATAGTGTCCTCTTAAACGTATCACCATTTATACATTTGTGTAACAAAAATATAATCCTAAGTCTATTTTTCTCGGAGAAGACTATTTTTGTGATTACTTTATAGTTTATTGACAAAAATTCTAAGTATTATGTAGTAAAAACTACACAAGATATGTCATACACAGGGTCATCACATACAAATTATATAAAAAAATATAATTTGTAAATGTAGCTACCGTTGGTGGGTCGTGGGAGTATAGGTAATATACTATAGGAATTATGACAGAGGGTCTAAATTAAAAGTTAGGGGGGCTTAGCTCCGCCCACTAGTTACGCCTATGCTGTCATCAATATATTTTTGAATATGTAAAACTAAAAATATTTTAAAAGTATTTAAAATACTATTTTTTATAAGCATTTTATTATTTATTCCAAATACTTTTAAAAAGTAGTTTACTCCAGTAATGCCAGTTACTATTAACACATTGAACGGTGATGTTGATTTGGTATGTGCGCGCCAGTGGCCCACGTGATTTGACCTGCAGGCGGCCTTCACCAATAATTGGTACAATTATTGTAAATTTAGTAGATTTTACGCAATAGTTAATATGGTTATGAATGGCCGATAGAAATTTCAAATGTGTTCAGCTATAGCCACCCAAAAAAGACTCAATATAAAATAGGTTACACTATGTCAACTATGGGTTTTAATACAGGGTTCATTCAAGTCAACCACGCATTGATTCCGGCGTTCAACGTGTTAAAAATATGCTGTACCGCATTGTCATGTTATAATAGTGACAATGTAAAATACGTATAAAGAATGCACACGGAGTTAACCATAGAATAAGGCATGACTCCTGACAACGCTTATTCACCGTCAGCCAGACGTATGCATAACTCACCAAGTGCCTGTAGCACTAAGTAACATGGTTAAATAACTAGCCATAAAAAAAATAGCCCAGTGAGCAATCTACAGTATTTATAATCAATGATTATATAATATAAGGTGATTCACTAAGAATACTCGCTCCCTTTTTCATCAAAAATGCAGTTGTTCTCATTACTACAGTTAAGAATGCTCATTTAAAACATTAAAACATTCATTTAATTTAAACTTTTGATATTTATAAAATTAAAATAATAATATTGTAACTGTTTTAGTTAAAAAACAATTGAATTATCTCACATTCAAGATTTAAATGAATAAACAAAAGATAAATTAATAATAATTCATTAATGCCAATGTACTTCACTAGGATGAGTTATTTGACCAAGTTTGAAGAACCTTGTTAAATTGTTTTGAGCAGTTGATTGGGTCTTTTTTGATTGTGGCTGTGGCAATTTTCCATCACGTTTTAACACTCCAACACATTTCCAGGTATCTACTGTTGCTAAAAATAAAATAGTAATTTATTAAAACCACTTTAAAATTATTTATTATTGCTAATTATAAATAGAATACATGAGATGAATTAGTTAAAACAAAAACATATTAAAACTCACATTTCCAAAGTCTCACACATCCATCATCACCAGATGATGCTAAAACAGTGCCAGTTATATTCCATGCAACACGCCAGACTGTACAAAAATGATCATTAAATTGAGCTGCAGTTTCAATAGTATAGGGGAAACCACTAGCAGCATCACTGTGTAAAAAATTACAATTACTATTACTAAAATGGAAATCAAATCTAATTTTCAACAGTTAAATTATAACTTTAGTACATACACAATTGGTTTGAGTTTTAAAATGCGAACATTATTTGTAGCAATTGCTAACAAATAAAATGATCGTCCCATATTAGGTGCAAATATCATATCATGTACTGGATGAGCTACACTAGCTACAGATTCAGTTTTTGCCCACCGACGAGATACTTCATTGTATTCACATATAAATACTTTACTGTTTGAAGTATTGGAATTATCATCACTACCAACTGCTATCATTGCATTTGGAGTTCTAAAACTATTAAAAAAAAACAAAAAATAATGTTTAATTTTATTTAATAATTTATAATATACTAGCTGATCCCGTGCACTTCGTTGCCCATTAAAAATGCCAACTCTATATGAATAATATATGTTTTTTTTTATAATATAACTGTTACCATAACAACAATTTTAAACCAATGGTAACCAATAATTATTATTATTATAGCTTTGAAACCAACGGAAACCATTTATAAACAAAAATTTCCATCGGAAATCTCAAAATCTTTGTTTGAGCACCTGATCCCGGTGTTGGTCCTCTCCCTTTTTAAATTAACATATCTTCTGCACAAATGTCTAATCAATCTATATATATAAAAATATCTGATCTCGTGCACATCATTTCCAGTTAAAATTGCCAACTCTATATGAATAATATGTTTTACATATCACCATTCACCATGGCAACCATTTATATACAAAACATTCCTTCGGAAATTTCAAAATAATATATATATATATATGGTTGCCATGGTAATATGGACACACACACACACATACATTCATTTTTATATATATAGACTAGTATATTACATAAAATTATTACTTAGATAATAAAGGATTCCATGTGAGACAACTACTTGGTACTTTTAATGATACTTCATGTTGCAAAGGCCATTGAGCAAGGTTCATTGCATCTGGGGCTTCATAAATTCGCATTACTCCATCAGCTGAGCAGGTTGCTAAAATTAATCCAAAAGATTTTGGACCAAACTTTACATCTGTTACAGATGTGCGGGAATCAACTAAGTTTGCTCTACGCACCCAATGCCGTAATAATGTTCCATTTTCATTACTTTCCCCCACTACAAAAAATCATCTGTTAATATTGTTTAGTAATTTATGTTGACATTAATTTCAATTAATGACACAATTTTAAAATCATAATTTTTAAGATACTCACTTATTTCTTCCCAAATGGCGGCAGTACGGTCAAAGGAACATGTTGCTATTACTTGACCAAACTCTGGATGTGCCCAAGTCACTTTCCAAACAGATCCGCTATGAGCCTTCCAACTAGCTGTCAAATTCCAATTACCTTGTTCATCTTGGTCCCAAACCTATATTTAACAATATTAAAAAAGCAGGTAAGTGGATGTCGCTCTGCTGTACAATAGGTTACAAGTGGGTCATTGTATAATGGATTGTATTAAACTTGAATTCAATGATATAATATCGTTGGGTACTTTCCTATTATACGAGAATAAGGCTGTTATCGCGACTACCACGCTTATTTTGTGAAACATCACAATCCTTTTATCTAAGACTACCAAAATGGAACTTTCCTGTACTTTCCTATACAAGACTACCTTATTTGATATATTTTTTAATAATATGTATTGTGGGGACAGTCATAAAAAAATTAAATCATAGTAATTATTCGTAATGTATATAACAAGGTACACGCCAAACTGCAAAATTTGCCACGGCATACGGAAAACAATAAAATAATAATAATAATACAAAATGGTATATTCACAAATAAAATAATACATAATTTATGTATTATGGGGATGGCAAAAACTAATAATATACGTAATGATAGATACATAATATAATAAATATAATCACAGCTTATTTAGTATTATTTTAATTCAGCTATAATATCATCTAAGATAGGTAGTCGCGATAACGGAGATAGTCTTGGGTGGTAGTCACGATAATGGTCGTAGTCTCGTATAACAGGAAAGTATAATTTTGGTAGTCTTAGATAACAGAATTGTAATGTTGTCAAAAAACAGGGTAGTCTTGTATAATAGGAAAATACCTATCATTGTATAAGAAAAACGATCCAGAGCTGAGACGGTTTGTCAGTCTGGATATTTTAGATTGTTATTATTTATTATATCATGTAAGTTGAATTAATATTATAATATTATCATTTTTTATTCGTTTCTATGGTGATAAACAAAACGTTAGAAATTAAAATCCCATTATTAGCGGTTTCTTGTAATTTTTCGAAGGTTTTTCCCATGGCATTAAATAACTATTAATAAAACCGAAAAATGACCTCTCTATAGTACCATCTTGATCCAGTTTGCTAAAAGGTAAGGTACTATATCTACAGAAATCTAAGTACTTCTTCTAGTAAAAATTTTGTATACAGGATGTAAAAAAACAAAAATAAACACCATTGTAAAACCACTAGCTTCCTCGCTCCGCTCAGAATCTAAAATATAATACAATATTTTCAAACATAAATAGTCAACAGAATTACACTTACCTTAACAAATTGATCTGTAGAACATGTCGCCATTCTTTCTCCATAGTAGTCAAATGCAACATCGTGTATTAAGTCTTTGTGCTCCGCATTAATACTGTGTGCTTCAACCATGTTTCACATTTATTATGTATTATAGAAGCTGAAACTATTCAATAATTAAATACAAATACAAAAATAAATATTGTCATATCGATATTTGATAATGTTTAAATTTTTAAACGCTTAAAGTTCGTCAATTTTTTATTGCATAAGATTATGATAAAAACATTTAGGTTATGTACACAAATAGGAGTATTTGTAATCTCTTTGGCACCCGATCGATAGTTTCACGGCTGGCGCCAGGATGTCGTTGAAGATACAAAAGGGTAAGTTTATTATGGCTTTTTGAACATGTATTGATTTTTGGAACTGTACGTGGGCTTAACGAAATGGTCCAGGAAGCTTACGGAACTATTCTTGTCTTTTGTTTCTGAATAAATTCAAGCCAAAATATCTAATTTGTGTTTATTTTTATTATATAGTTATATTAATTAAACGAAAATTGAAGAACAATTGTCGATTAATTATGTTAGCCAATCATTATTAATTATTATAACTAGTTTTTTAATATAATTTATATTAAAAAAACTATAATCACGTTGGTTGTAAACACAAAACATGTTTAAAATATTGTAGAATTTATGTGGATTTATATTACGTACTATGTATATCATAATATTATACACAATACTACTGGGGTAGTACAGATTGAGTAGGTACCTAAACCTATCTTGACTAAACATTTTTAATATGATTACTGATTAGGTTTAGGGTACCTATATATTATATGATATTAACTTTAATGATGTAGCTTTTATTTATAAGTTGATAAAAGTTCTTAAAAACATTAATTTTAAAGACCATATTTAACTCGAGAAATAATTCTTTCCTTTAGTTCGTCATTGCTCTATGCCTCTATAGTCTATATTAACATAATTGCTTATAGTCCGGAGTATCGACTTTTAAACCATATTAATAGTACCTATATCAGATTTTGATTTTTGTTTCGACTCACCTGCCAAGTTAAAAAAAATTTCAAAGAATATTTCTTAAATTATTTTAATTACTATAAAGAATTATCATTTTTTGTATAGTAATGGTTTTTACTTACTAAGTTTCTAAGTAAACAACAAAATAACAAAAATCATTTTAGGATCGTATATAAATCGTTATTTTATGTTTGGATATCCAATTTGGTAAAACCGCTTATACAAACAAACGTTATTGCTTTATGTTAAACTTTTTACTATAGCAATAAGAACAATACTTACGATAGGTACATTTTTTTTAGCACCTCTTCCCCTGCCAGCAATTAAGTCTACTTACCTGTACGTATTATAACTTAATTGGTTAGGTACAATGTACATATAATTTGTAAGCGTCAACGAAATTTAGATACATTTAAAATAAACTATAGGTATTCACAAATTTCAGAAAAATAATTTAATTTATTTTTCTGAAAAAATAAATCATCAAATTTAAATTGATTATAATATATAATAAATTATACTTAAACATTTAGGTATAGTAGTATAGATAAATAAAATAATAAGAATACAAGAAAATACATATTTTTATTTATTTATTTTGTACAAAGGTTCCTAATGTTTAGGTTATGTTAATTGGTAGGAATATATTTTATATATTTATATATATAACTCTATAAGTATATAACTTTAATTTCTTTCTCTATTAACTATTTTTACCTTACTGTCTTGCATCAATATGGAGATGTGGTACCTACAAGAATTTTGAGTAGTTGCAGGTTGCGTATAATAATATTATATTGTAAGGTAACTACTATTTATTCAAGCATTTCTGTTTATAACTTTGATGGTTAAAAATGTATAATATTAATATTATTATATAAACTAGTAACGGTCCGTCCCGCCCGACCCAGGCCAAAGATTTGTATTTTTAATAAATATATTTGTACACAATTTATATGGCATATTTCTTCTAATTTATTTTAATATAGCTGATCCTGCACACTTCGTTGCCCGTAAAAAATATTAACTCTTAAAAAAATTGTGATTGTTTAACACCTTTTGGGTGTAACTCGCTGCAGTAAGTGCAACTCAGCCACCCCGCGGTAGGCAATTCGACTATATGCCGGATCGCGGACAATGTGCGACAGCGTATCAAGTAGGTATTGGGCTAAAATTCGATTTTATGCATGCTTGATCTGCCCTATTAATCAATGACAACCAACATACAAATCTAATACTAATTTCTACTAATTAGTATTTCTCCTATAACCAATAGCAACCATTTATAAACAAAATTATCCATCGCGGCATCGTAAATCTCAAAATCCCTGTTTGAGCACCTCCCCAGGTTGGACCTACCGGGTCCAATTGTGAATCTAAATCATCCAGAGAACCACCCAAACACACAAACAATTTCATCAAAATTCGTAAAGCCGTTTAGGAATGCAGAAAGGACATACAACAAACATTCATTTTTATATAATATATAGATATTATTATTATTATTTTTTACAACCCAATTAATTTTTCCAAAACAAATATACATTAAAATCTTCCCCGTGACTCAACCGATCTATTACTAAAAACCGCATTAAAATCCGTAGAGTACTTTTCGAGATATGAGTGTACATACAAAAAAGGGGCTGATTGATAGACACAAAAAAGGGACATTATTCCAAAGTTTTAGTAGGGATCCCTAATTTTTTCTAGTAATAAATATAGCTTATATTACTCAGGGATAATACTATTCTAATGGTAGAAGAATTTTTGAAATCGGTCCAGTACTTTTTGAGTTTATTCGGTACAAACATACAAATCTTTCCTCTTAATAATATTAATTAAATAAAGTAAGTATATAGAGAACGTAATAAACACTTAAATACTAAATAAGTATTTGATTCATATATCCATAATATAGCTGCAGCCTGCAACCATCGAAAAATAAGAATGGCCTTTTTATAGTTGTACGTATATGTAACTAGCCTGTAGCCACTTTTAAGTTGATAATACTAATGTCGTAATTCGCTCTTATTCATCTAGGTAAGTCATTGAAAAACTAACCAACCAAAGTGAAAAATATATGTTCAGTAGGTATGTCCACTTTTATAGCTTCAAATATGAAATAGATATATTATTAATTTTCTCTTTCAACTTTCCAAATATTTCACATATAATAGTTTGTAAGTGAATGTAACTATATTTACTATATAGGTATTGACTATTGGATATATGTGTAGTCGTGTAGATCAGTGGTTTTCAACCTTTTATGGATCGCGACCCATCATTTTTATTTTTTTGTACTGCGACCCCCTTCAAAAAAAAATGTTATTTTATTCATCAAAATTTGATTTAATTACTGAAAAAATATTTATATGGTATACGATTATGATTAATTTACACTTCAAAATTTAATTAATTCATAATAGGTACAACATTATTTTAAAACAATACAAGCATATACAATAAATTTAAATATAAAAAAAATTTAAAAATGTATAATTTAACTACAATCTAACTACATTTAATATAAGCAAATACAATAAATTTAAATATAAAAAAAATACATTGGTAATACATAAACTGTTGTTAATGGGATACTTGACTACTTGAGCTTGAGCTTTTGAAATGATTGTTTCCATATTAGGTTTTATATTAGAGACTGCAACTCTTAGATCTGATTCTACATTTAATTTTGTCCAATATTTGTTTTTTTATTACTGTAAGAGCTGAAAACGCTGTTTCACACAAGTAAGTGGTTGCAAATGGCAGAAGTGTTGATATAGCTATTTTTGAAAATTCTGGGTATTCTGATTTTATAGAAATCCAAAATTTATCACTTGGTAGTTTCATTAAATTTTATACGCAGATTTTCATCGGCAGATAACTCAATTAATTCCTCGTTCATAACTAAACTTAATTCAGAATTCATTTCATTTATATTAATAGAAAATGGATTTCTTATCCATGCCAACTTTATACGATAGTCACGAACAATTTAATAATCCATATCCGCTATCGATAAGAAATAAGAATTTAAGACTATACGCTCCTCAGCATGTTCTATAATCTATATAAAACAAAATGAAAAATTAACTTTATTTTATTTTTAAATAAAATTGAAAAATCATTTCATCTATTATTTTTGGCGACCCCCAATCCTATCATTCGCGACCCCCAGGTTGAAAACAACTGGTGTAGACTATAGGTATATTATAAAATATATACCTAGTTTTATGATATTATAATATAGGTACATAATAACGAAAAAACATGTAAATAGGCCAACTATAGGGTATCATAGCCATAGGTACTGTAAATTACTAAATTATATCAAATATCAATATAAATATATATAAATACAGAGTGATTCAAACCAAGCACCCAACCCTCATTTTACCTTTATAATTTATTAATTCAAATCTGACTCTTATAATTTTTAAATAGAAGTACTTAAGGTCATATATACAATTTATGGTTTTTTTGTATTACCTAATTAAGCAGTTTTCCCCCTTTTTTACTGTAAATTATTTAGTGGATAATTTTTTTTTTAAGATTTTGATATACCTACCTAGTACCTAATTCATAATTCAAACGAGAATAATGGTCCTTAAAAGTAGTTTTACAAAAATATAAAGTAGATTTATACTGTATAGATAGTAGGTACTTATATCTGTAGTATTTATTATACTTGAACCATTTTTACGAATCATTCATGTTGATAGATTCTGCAGTGGTGGTTCTAGCGTATAGACAGGGTGAGCAGCTGCCCATACCAAAATTTCTGATGCCCCTTATTGGGGAAGGGGGAGGGAATGAGGAATATTATTCGCAGTTAAAACTTAATTATAAATCTACTGGCGCACAGTGGGATGAAACACGAATTTAGCGTGCCAAAAGTACCTTTTTTTAAACTAAAAAATTATTGGTTTTTTTTATCAATAATTAATCGTTACATTATTCTGACGATTAAATCAGAATTTCAAAAAAATTAATTAACATACACCTGACTCACAGCTGTTAGTATAAAATATATACATTATTTGATTGATATTTTCAAACTTTTATTCATTTTCTTTTTATTTA